AACCAAATACAATTTTTTGCGGTTTCAATTTGGTTCGGTTTTACGATTTTCTATTGAGCCGATTTGATTTTGAACACCCCTACTATGGAGTGAGTTTCTGGTACGATAGAAGAAGGTAGATCTACAAGATTAACACTTCAATAATGAAGTTAGTGAATGAGTGATAAAGTAGTTTGAGTGTGTGAATAAAATAATAGTTGAAATAGCGTGTGTGGGACTCTATATAGTGTGAGCGGTTAGAGTTATCACTGTGTGATTTTATACCTTATGCGGGGAGCATTTAATTACATTTTACAGTGGACTATCCTACGAGGGTGAGGATTGAGTGAAAATCTCATGGTTGTAAGCACCCTAATCCTCAATATCTTGGCACACACGTTATAAGAATATGCCTCATCATGATTGGGCTTTATTGCCTTTGTACTTGTGATCGGCCAAAATAATTGCCCCCAAAATTTGTCATTGGACATAAATGAAAATACTTTTTGAGTATTAGGTCGTTATCCCCCTCGATTGTGGTCCTCATGCGCGTCTTATCTTGGGATTAAGCACATTTACTGCAAATCTTGTCATTAGAATTTTTTACATGAACGTTCTGCACGTGGCCCTAGATCCCTATGGTATGGTGTGAAGTTGTGCTTTAGGGTGCTCATGTGCACTCAAGTGGCATTTTAATCTCGAGGTGGATTTTGTACGTTCATTTTCGTTTGTCCACCTTCCTTTGTTCTAGGTCATTGATTTGTCTCCCTCAGTATGTTATATAAAGGTTGTTTTTCTTCTTAGGTTATATTTCACCTTTTGTGCAAATTGTTTTTTTCTTTCTTTGTCAGAAAGCGTGTGAGTGAGGATAAAGCATGCTGAAAATATATGTGATAGTTTGGGAGGTTAGTCGACAATCCTGAAAGCAGTATGAGGTGTTACAACGGGTGTCGAATCATTATCTTTTGATACATGATTGACATCTATGTTGCCTTTGCTTTTGCAACCGACATAAACATGTGAATTATGACTCAGATTCTAAAATAAAAAGAAACTTTAAGGTTTATTCTCGTAATACATGATGGATAAATTCATTGGGGGTTGTCATGAGATATACTCTCATAATCCATTGTCCTTAAGGGACTACTCACACATGGTGAAGTAAAAAACAATAATACAAAAATTTATAAACATTGCAAGGATATAAATAAACTGAAGTAAGCAAAGTAATAACAACTTGAAATGAAAAGGAAGTCAGGATTGCAATACCAAAATTGCAGAAAAGTTACAAGAATTTTGCAAGAACTTAAGCTAAGAATCAAAGAAAAATACAAAGAGAATAGCAATTGTAATGTATGATGGTATTAGGAGTGATGATTTTGCTTGATGCCTAAGCCTCTATTTATACTAATCCAAGGCATAAGTAATTCATAATTGGCACTAATTTTGAGCTTTACTACTACTAATCATGGGGTATTTTAATGCTATAGAGGTTATGGATGATAAAAGGTTACGAAAATCGCCCAAAAATAAAAAGTTCATAATTGCTTAAGGATTGACATGGGCCGTGTCAGTGGACATGGGATGGACATATAAGCCTCATTTTACTCATATGAAGGGGCCAACACGGCCTGTGTCTTGGGACACTGCCAAACCATCTTGTTCTTAGAAAATTTGTATGGGAAGAGCCCATTTTTGCTTGATCTTTGGCCTTTCTTGCTCTGGTTCGATCCACTGACCTCTTAATACCCGAAAAAATAAAAAGGAGACAAAACACATAAAATCAAACTAGAATGATGAAAACACGTGAAATCGAGAGGAAACAAACAAGAAACATGATGCATTTTGATAAGCGGTAAATGTGTCATGTTTCTTTCCTTTTTTCCCTTTGATTTCATGTGTGTTTTCATCGTTATAGTTCGTTTTTATGCGTTTTTGTCTCATATGTTTCTTTTCAAGTAACAAGAGGTCAATAGAGCGAATCAAGACGAAAAGGGCGAAGATTGCATAAAAAAGAGTGTTTCAAGTACAAATTTCCCGAGTCTAACATGACCGGGCCATGTCCCATGACAGGGGCCATGTTCCCTCTTTAAAGCACACCCATACAAGAAGCCAGAGGTTGACACGGCCAGCCCGTGTCCACTGACACGACCTGTGTCAGGCCTTAAGTAGTTACAAAACTTTTGTTCTTTAGATGACTTTTATGACTTTTTGGCATTTGTAACTCCCATTCTTTTATGATTAGTGATAAGTGTCCATGAAACACAAAATTAGTTCAAATAATTAGTGACTTAGGTATTGGATTAGTTTAAATAAGGGCCTAAGGATTTATCTGTTCCATCATCTTCACTACTATTATTTCTCACAAATTGTTATGTTCTTTAAGTTCTTAGCTTAAGGCTTTGATAATATTTTGTAATTTACAACACTTTTATTATAATCTTGCCTTCTTCTTCATTTTATTCGATTATTGTTTTACTTATTTTCAATTACTTACTTTTCTTGTATTGTTCTTAAATTTGTTTATGGTTGTTGTTCATCTCACCATGAGTGAGTAGATCTTTAGAGAGATGGGATTATGAGAGTCCTTCTCATGACAAACCCATACTAAGTTATTCATTTGTAATTACGAGAATGATAATTTTGCTTTATTTAAGGATTCAAATCTTATTCAACGTTTATGTCGGTTGCAAAAGCAAAGTCAAAATAGATGTCGATCATGTATCGAAAGATAATGATTCGACATCTAAAAACAAATTACTAAAAAACTGAATTCGAGGAACCACTGACAGGGCACCTTGATCTCAATTGAGAAACAATCAAGAATTCGACGTCGTGTGACAAGGTGTATCATCTTGATTGATATGAAAAACAGTTCATGAAACACATTTAGATGTGCACGCCACAAAAGCGGGAGTCACACAAATTTATCTAATTTTCTATAAAAATAACTTATAACTTCTCATAATTCAAACATGAGTGATCTTATGGGTGAATCTCGATAGATACTCATAGCTCTTAGTCCTGGTTTTTATTATTTGTTAAAATATATTTTTCAATATGAACCAAACAAACATTTTTCGGTCACTTTAAATAAACATAGTTGAAGTAAGAATTGGTAATCACATATCTTCTTGTGTGTTTGATTTTTTAATACTTGACATAATAGTGCACTTGCAGTTCACACACATAAGTTTTTGACGCTGTTGCCAGAGAGATTTTGTGATATCGAAAGTTTATTTCAACGCCGTTTAGACGGTACTCTTACTTTATATTTTATTTGTCCTAATTTTGTATGCGAAGGACCCGGCTGACCGAAACTTTGGTTGAATCAGTTAACAAGATTGAGCGTTTTCTTCAAGAAAGATGTTGACTCCTCGCCTTGTAACAAATGTCTAAGATAGTGGATACTAAACCACTCAAAGACTATGCGATTCCCACCGATGAGGAACCACATAGAAACATTGTACACCTGCCCATAACGACTAATAATTTTGAACTTAAGCCTTCGCTAATAGGCATGATTTAACAAAACTAGTTTTTGTTAGAAATTTAGGGTGTGATAATCCTGGATAACTTCGATGAATCGTGTTCGTACACTTTCCGAACAAAGTATTTCGACCCTATTCTTGTCTGGGTTCACGAAATCTTTGTGGGGATAATTCTCGAAGAAATTCTGTTTCCGACAAAAGAAGACGAATTGTAATTATAGAGAGAAGGATGCGTTTTTCCTGTATCCGAGACCGAGGCCGAACGACTCCTTATATAGGAGAACAGTAATTGAAAACGAAGAGACACATTTGTTCGAAATGAATATGTCAGTTGGGAAACAGTTATGTCCGTTGGGAACAGTTATGTCCGTTGGGGAAAGGATTCAAAATTTTTGCACGGGGCGCTGCCCCGCACCCCGCCCGCCCCTTGGACCCCGCACCCCGCCAGGGGCTTCGCCCCTTGGAACCCCGTTTCAATTATTCGTATTCAATTATGTATTGGCTCGACGAGCGTGCACTCCGCACTTCCCTAACTCGTCTCCGAACTTAACGCATAATTGCATCGGCCTTTAGAAATCACATTACTACTAAAATACATTGGTGATACAAAATCGCCAACAGTTTTCCGGGCTACTTATGAAAAACCCAAATCTGCATCTCTCAATTTTTATTGATAATTGTAGTACCTTGAAGGCTAATGTCGTTTGACCAGAATGCGATCCGTCTAAGACTGTTCCCATTGTCGCTACGAGATTGAGCTCAAGCTTGGCTCCAATATTTTCCTGCAAACTCCATAACTTCTTGGGCATAACTTAAAGTTGCTTTCCTTGCGCAATATTTTTCGCCAAGTAATACTACTTTAGTAAGAAGCGAAATCAATAATTTTGGACAAGAGGATGAATAACCTTTTTTTGACGCACGAGAGCGTTATACGGATTTGCTGAGGCTTTGTCTCTTTCATGGGTTTGATAAATGGTTGGTGATACACACCTTCTATAACAGTCTCATTTACTCTACATGGATGACCTTTTATGCGGCCGTCGATGGTGTGCTAATGAACAACTCGCAAGACATGCATATAATTTGATTGAGGATATGGTTAAGAACCACCACTCACGAGGTTCTGTCAGTGATAAAAGTGCACCCCCTTCCAAAAGGGAGGGATGCACGAGAAATGAAGTTACAAATTCTTGTGTTATTTATATTTTTCCTTTATTCTCTTTATCCCTTATCTATTTATTTCACTGTCTTTCCTCTGGTTTTCCACTGCTTAATTATTCAGTTAGTTTTAAATTATTTTCAAACTTTGATTTTACAAATGATTTTGTTTTCAACTAAAATTTTACAAACTTCCACAATCCACCCCGTCTTGTTTATGGAGTCACATGTGCGACAAAGAGGACATTGCGAATTTTCAGAGTACTCTGGAGGTCCATCTTTATGATATCTTGTTGGTACTTGTGGAGGGGGAGAAATAACACAATCTTTGAAAAGAGCTTTCAACGTCTAAAAAATTCAACAAAAACAATTATGTATCTAGTGAAGGAAATTGAAAAGGGAAACTTTGTTCAGGAAAAAGCTAGGCTTTTGGGGTCGGAGATCAAACATGTTCGCTGGTATCACCCAGATAACAATTAGATTAAGCTCAATTTTAATGATATTTACCATAATTCTACTTCCATTGGCTGCAATGAATTATTTAGGGATTCTTTAAAAAATTGGAGGTGAAACTGTGTGCAAAGAAATGGTTTGTATGATGCCATCACTATTAAGATGTGAGCTACGTTGTATGAATTGGAGCTAGTCTGGGATGAGAAAATTACTAATATGATGACATAAAGTGATTCTAAAGTCTTTACACATATGGTAAGACAAGAAAATATCAAGAAAATATGGTTGAACACGTTTTTCAATTTTAGTCAAAAGAATCAGGCATACGACTCAAAAGGACTAACACCTAAAGTTTAACAATACTTGACGTGAAGACAATCAGTATGCAGATTGACTTCGCTAATTTGAAACTTACTTTAAACAACAATGATCTCTTCATTTTTTCGACTCTATCCACAAATAATTTGAAGAACATTTTAGTTGATGATAACACTTGACTCTCATTCCCTAAAATTATTAAAGTTTCTTGTTAGATTTCCTCTCAATATTTTATAAAGTTTTTATACTCTCTTTTATACTAAAAAAAATATTCAACTTTATTGAATATAATTTAAGATCGGTTTGTTTTAGTTTTTTTAAAAAAATAATTTTCATAATATTACATAAATTTTATATAAAAATAATTTATAAAGAAAATTTTCATAAAAACTTTAAATAAAAATTTAATTTAAATAATTATTTTTAAAATATTATTTTAAATATTTCATCATCTTGTTGAAAAAATTTTCGAACATCAAAATTTTAGATAATCACTTAATTTTAAATATATTTTAATCTTCAATAACATATATTTATATTATATAATATTAAAATTTATAAATATAATATTTTTTAATATTTTAAAAAACGATTTTATAAAATCCAATAGTATATTTGACCATTGATGACAATGACAAACTTTTAAAATATTTTACAATCACAATAACGAGTTTGACAATTCTCTACGTAGTCGAACACATTAAAAAACGCTTAACGGATTGTTTGGTTGGGAGTACGTTTTCCCACCGCCACCGCGGTTTCACGGCGTTTCAACGTGAAAACACATAAGTTAAAAACTGTTGCTTCTGAGAGAATGCGCGTTAACGTTTCTTCAACCGCCAAAAGAGCTTATTTTCTGTTGCTACTCATACAATTTCCCTCTCATTCCAAACAGTTCCTTTTGCACAACCACTTTTGATCCTCACTCACTATTCCCAAATTTCGTTACAACTCTCACTCACCTTCTCACAAGCTTTGTGGAATCAGGTATCAATCACTTCCGTTTTCTCTTTTGAATTTGTTTAGAGCTTCTCTCTATCACATTATTATTTGTAACCATTCGAATTCGAATACCTGATTTCGTATTAATTTGTTTTCTAATCGTGCTTGTTAGGTGTTTGATTGAAAACCTAGAAGTAAACTTAATCAAGTACTTCCGTTTCCACAATGCATTCCATGCTTTATGTTATAGTATCTCATTTATGTTCTTAAGATTTCAAAAAATGGTTGCGGTCGTTTTCACGATTTCGGATACTGATTGCGGTCTTCGAGTGTAAATTAATCACAATTTGTTCTTTAATATAAAAACAGTGAATAACAGTATTGGCACCGGCACCTGACGATACCGTTTTGTCGCGGTCGCATACCGTTTTTTAAAAACCTGGTTCTTATCGACCTGCATGATTACTGTTTATTGAAGCATGAATTGTGGTGTAGTTTGTAGGTAATTTCATTTTCGGAAAGAGGAAAACTAAAGCATTTTCGTGTATGTTAGTACAGCGAGCATGAGTAGTTAAGTTTGTTTGCTTTAAGACGAGATTCATTTAAACTCTTTCGTCTTCCATTTTGCTAGTGTCACTGCTGTTTTTTGGTGTGCAAACATTTATACGTCTATTTTGGGACACTTGTTAGGTAGTGTGATAATTTTGAATTAATACTGCATTAGGATATAGTGGGGGAATTAAGAGTGTTGCTTCTTATTATTATTACTGTCTCTACAGGACTAAGCATGTTCTTTCTGATATATGTTTGGAGTGATGCGATTCAACTCAAACTATTTTTGTGTCAGCTGTTGGAATAAACTTATAGTATAACACATTTATGCTTGAATTGACTGGAATGAAAAGTTTTTGTCGATATTTACTGGTGAGTGTGAGCACAATTGTAATTTCTAATGTCCATGTGGCCATGTTTAAATCATTTGATGTGTGGAACTTTCAAGTTTGTTTGAATGATTGAAAGTCCTTTTGTATCATTCATTCATAAAATTTGTTAGGATTTAAATTCATTGTTTATGTACATATTTGGGTGGATGATAGGGATGCGAAAAGTGATTTTCCTTTTCATACGTGTTGTTACTTTGTACCAACAACATTGATTGATTTTGACTCTAAACCCCAATTTGTCTACAAGTGATACTAAGTTTTATAACAAACTCAGTTTTAAATCACTAATCTCCCAACATCATTTTAACTAATCAGTTTTACAAAATCAAGTTTATTCAAAAACATATTTGATAAATATTCAACAAACACATTTTATATTGCTTATTTAGATTTTAAATATGCCTATAAGTATAGAGAGAGGGAATTCTGATTGTAGTTTAAAAATGCTTGAGTTTTGCCTTATTTTTTCATCACATTGATTTGCAGAGCAAGCAATCAATCGGCATATTCTTGACCTGACAAATGAAACTCAGTGGGAGGTGATTGGAAAGGTTATACTCTTTTCTTTCAATATCATCATTAATTTGATTTCTGTTATTAATTATTTGTCTGATAAATAATTAATAATTGTTTAGACATATCTACGATGCAAAAATATGGCAAATGGCTTGATATTGAGAAGCTTGGCAAGAGAGGATGTTTTTTTCTTCAGTCAAGAATTCATTGGGCCAATGAATGTGTAGAAACTCTCCACAAGACAAGGTTCATCCTATAGCCTTTGATAATTATTCCAGCTGCGTTGTTCTCACATTTAGTTTCCTGAAATTGAAATTTTGATTAGAGTCATCTTGTAACATTAGTTTTCTAGAGATTTTTGTCATGAAATTAATTTCTTAAATTTACATTTAGAAATTTACTCATCTTGTGCCAAAATTTATCTCCATAAATAATATTTTAAAGTTTAAACAATAAATATTGTAAAAAGAGAAAATACAAAAATAAAATAAGAACAAAAGAATGAAAAAAATAAGTAATCCAAATTTGGGGAAAAAAGAAATGACTATTGACATTGGCAGCCTGATTTTGAAGATTCTCAAAAGTAAGGAGGGAAAATGTGTTTTGTGATAAGGTTCAAAGAAAATAACTTTCTGTTAGAAAGATGGTGCAATCCACTTTTGTCCATAAATTCACATGCACTATGACAGTAGGTTACTATCATGTTCTAATCTTTGAAAATTTACAGAATATTGTGATTGATACTTCTTCAATAAAGTGATATCGTGACCATGGAACTTTTTTTATTTTTTAAAGTTATTATTGGGGGTAAATTGGGGGGGGGGGGGGGGGGGGCACCTTCAGAAACAGAGTAAAAGCAAAAAAAGAAGACACGGGAGTAAAGTAAACTAGGCGTTTTTATTTATTGGAAACAGCTACCTCACCAATAAGGAGTGCATAAACTGGACACATATATCATTACCTCAAGATGAAAAACAAAGGAATGTATAATTTTATTTACAAACTGCCGAAGTAATTAGCATTACTTGTACCGTACTCCGTAGTCAGTTGTTTAGGTGTGCTGGTGATCGAGCTAGATATAGATGAGTTGAGGTTAACTTACCCGCATGGACTCACCATGTTGTTATACCACCTGGCCATGGACTTTAAGGTTATAGTAGAAACAGGTACTAGGCTGACTTCAAAAGAGACCGGGCAAAAATATTGAAGGCATACACTCTTGAGCTATCTCGGTCTGATGTCGATCGATCATCCATGCTGAAGTCACCCTTCAAATAAACTACCTATATGAGTTCAAAGTATAAAGCCCTCTATAGAGCCCATTTAACAACTATATAAAAGGGATCGACCCTAATCAAATGAAGATACATCTCATTCATAGTTTAGTTTTACTATTACTAGATACTAGTTCTGACTAGGATATTTAGACTTCCTTTTTAGATTCCCCCCTTGGACTGAATCACATAGATTATCCGCACTGGCAGATCTACCTCCAACCTCCCTTGAGGTTGACTCATGTTTTAAAACAAGAACATTGGTAAGCACACAAATTGTTTTTGGGAGTTTGTAACCAAAATATTCACGCTGACATTTTCAACCACTATCAATAGAGGAAATTAGTTGATTGATGAGGCTAATTGAAAGGGGTGCCTGTCAAATTATTCAAATAATTTATCTCATTCCTACTTTTCTCCAAAACTAAGAAAATTACCTGCCAAGGGTTTTGACTTTTTATAGGAATCAGGCAGAGTAGAGTTGATTGAGTATAGCCATTAGACTGCTGGCTAGTAATTTAACTCTTCAAACGTCAATAATGGAAAAATTTAAATGAGCTATTTTTTGCTCTGAGAGAAATGGGAACCAGACAACTTTCTCCATGTGGTTTAGAAGTTTTTGTGAGCCATTGGAGCTATTTGAAAATACGACAATCATGCAAATGCTCTTAGAAATAAACACAAATTATGTAGTGAATAGAAATTTAATGTTCTCCTTGATTACTAGCACTCTTATTTCAAACACAAATACAAAATTGCCACAATAAATATAATAGCAATCATACACGACCATATTCATCTATGCACAAATAAATTAAAGAGATCACTAAAAGTGGACTGTACTTATGACTTTCACTTGACATTTACATTCAAATATTGCTTCCTCATTTTGATTTGTATGTCACTTGAGCACAACAAGACCAGGACGTGCAAGATGGCCACCAAAGAAATAGACTCAATTTTGTCTGAATAACAAATAATGTTGCTTAGAGATAATACATTCAGACTTTTATTCAAAGAACTTAGACTGGAAGGTAGTTTCACTTTGTTCCAAATGGAGGTTGCATTTATTCCTTGATGAAAACTAAAACCTGAAATGAATAATTTGCATTACTAAGATTTATACATGCACTTGTAATATATGTGTATTTATAGATGTAAGATTATAAACTTACATGATTTATACGGAACGGTGTTGCTGCATTTTGAGCTTACTTGTAGATAGGTGGTGGTGGGGATGCATAAATGTAAGCTGGCGGGGGAGGCGATTTCACAGGTGGGGGAGGTGATTTGTAAATGTATGTGGGAGCAGGAGACGGGGAGGGAGGAGGTGGTGATGTGTAGTGGTATGGTGGGGGAGGAGATGATGTTGGTGGAGGAGGACTCACATAGTGGTAAGGAGGTGGAGGAGATGACGTTGGTGGTGGAGGGGATTTGTAGTAGTACGGAGTATGAGGAGTGGGAGATGGTGGAGGAGGACTTTGATAGTAATAAGGAGGTGGTGGAGAAGGGGATGGTGGTGGTGGGGATTGGTAATAGTAAGGTGGAGGTGGGGATGGTGTTGGAGGGGGAGGAGACTTGTACACATATGTAGGTGAAGGTGGAGGTGGGGATTTGTACTTGTAAACTGGTGTTGGAGGAGGAGGAGATTTGTACTCGTAAGTTGGTGATGGTGGAGGTGGTGACTTGTACTCGTAAGTTGGTGACGGTGGAGGTGGTGACTTGTACTCGTAAGTTGGTGACGGTGGAGGTGGTGATTTGTACTCGTAAACCGGTGTTGGAGGAGGTGGTGAGTTGTACTTGTAAACTGGTGTTGGAGGAGGAGGGGAGTTGTATTTATAAACCGGTGTTGGAGGAGGAGGTGAGTTGTACTTGTAAACCGGTGTTGGAGGAGGAGGAGAGTTGTATTTGTAAACCGGTGTTGGAGGAGGAGGGGAGTTGTATTTATAAACCGGTGTTGGAGGAGGAGGTGAGTTGTACTTGTAAACCGGTGTTGGAGGAGGAGGAGAGTTGTATTTGTAAACCGGTGTTGGAGGAGGAGGGGAGTTGTACTTGTAAACCGGTGTTGGAGGAGGAGGGGAATTGTATTTGTAAACCGGTGTTGGAGGAGGAGGGGAGTTGTACTTGTAAACCGGTGTTGGAGGAGGAGGGGAGTTGTACTTGTAAACCGGTGTTGGAGGAGGAGGGGAGTTGTATTTGTAAACTGGGGTTGGAGGAGGAGGGGAGTTGTACTTGTAAACCGGTGTTGGAGGAGGAGGTGAGTTGTACTTGTAAATTGGTGTTGGAGGAGGAGGAGAGTTGTACTTGTATACAGGTGATGGTGGGGGTGGTGACTTGTACACGTAAGTTGGTGATGGCGGAGGTGGTGACTTGTACACATAAGTTGGTGATGGTGGTGGTGGAGAATTGTACTTGTAAGTTGGTGATGGTGGAGGAGGTGAATTGTAGTAGTATGGGGGTTTGTATACAGGTGATGGTGGGGGTGGTGACTTGTACACATAAGTTGGTGATGGCGGAGGAGGTGAATTGTACTTATAAACCGGTGTTGGAGGCGGAGGCGAATTGTACTTGTAAATTGGTGTTGGAGGAGGAGGCGAGTTATAGTAGTATGGGGGTTTGTATACAGGTGATGGTGGGGGTGGTGACTTGTACACATAAGTTGGAGACGGTGGAGGTGGTGAATTGTACTTATAAACAGGCGTTGGTGGAGGAGGTGAGTTGTAGTAGTATGGGGGTTTGTACACAGGTGTTGGTGGAGGTGGTGACTTGTACACGTATGTTGGTGACGGTGGGGGTGGTGAATTGTACTTGTAAACTGCGGTTGGAGGAGGAGGTGAGTTGTAGTAGTATGGGGGTTTGTACACAGGTGATGGTGGGGGTGGTGACTTGTACACATATGTTGGTGACGGTGGAGGAGGTGAGTTGTATTTGTAAACTGGTGTTGGGGGAGGTGGTGAGTTGTAGTAGTATGGGGGTTTATATACCGGTGATGGTGGGGGTGGTGACTTGTACACATAAGTTGGTGATGGTGGAGGTGGTGAATTGTACTTGTACACTGGTGTTGGAGGAGGAGGTGAGTTGTAGTAGTACGGGGGTTTGTATACTGGTGATGGTGGTGGTGGTGATTTGTAGACGTAAGTAGGTGACGGTGGAGGTGGTGAGTTGTACTTGTAAACTGGTGTTGGAGGAGGAGGGGAGTTGTACTTGTAAACCGGTGTTGGAGGAGGAGGTGAGTTGTACTTGTAAACTGGTGTAGGAGGAGGAGGAGAGTTGTACTTGTATACAGGTGATGGTGGGGGTGGTGACTTGTACACGTAAGTTGGTGATGGTGGAGGTGGTGACTTGTACAAGTAAGTTGGTGATGGCGGAGGTGGTGACTTGTACACGTAAGTTGGTGATGGTGGCGGTGGTGAATTGTACTTGTAAACTGGTGTTGGAGGAGGAGGTGAGTTGTAGTAGTATGGGGGTTTGTATACAGGTGATGGTGGGGGTGGTGACTTGTACACATAAGTTGGTGATGGTGGGGGTGGTGACTTGTATATGTAAGTTGGTGTAGGAGGAGGAGGTGACTTGTAGTAGTAAGGAGTTGGTGATGGTGGAGGTGGTGAATTGTACTTGTAAACTGGTGTTGGAGGAGGAGGCGAGTTGTAGTAGTATGGGGGTTTGTTTATAGGTGATGGAGGGGGTGGTGACTTGTACACATAAGTTGGTGATGGTGGGGGTGGTGACTTATATATGTAAGTTGGTGTAGGAGGAGGAGGTGACTTGTAGTAGTAAGGAGTTGGTGAAGGCTTAGGCTTTTCACATTCTTCATAATGTTTCTTAGAAGCATAGGCGAATGGCTTAGCCTTGAGCACAACTTCATACTTGTCTTTAGATTTTACCCACAAGTCAGTTCCCTCATTGAGCTTAGTTGGGATGTTGAATGGAGAGCCTTTAGGTGGAGCATGTAGTTTGGCTTTGCACACTGTGGGACCATATTTCACATAGTTAAAGTTTGGGATTGTGATGGCATACTTTCCGTTGTTTTTAGTTTTACCGTACGCCTTGATTATGTTCCTTCCAGCTTTACATTTGACCTCAACAACAGCACCTATCCCATAATCAGTTGAAATTCGTAAGTCTCACAGCAAAGTTAAATATAAGTAATGACAGAATTAAACATTACAAGGTCTTACTAAAAGGTCAAGTTTAGTTATTCGTGTTGTAGATCATATTAATTATGTAGCATCATCCAATTCCAAAGATTGAGTCATATCATCTATCATATTGATTTTCTTTATTACATCTTGCAGTCAGAACTAAGTAAAATTTGCATGTTATTTAGAAATTAAGTTGGTTTTTCAATGAGTGAAAAAAAGTTAGTTTTTATTAATATATGTAAGTTTTTATAGGTAAAGGGTACATGCAGAAGATAAAATACTTTGTAATAGTTTTTTCAAAAATGAATAACTAAACTTAATATAAAGAGCGAATGAAACTCATCTAAGAATGTAAAATTAACCAGCAAGAATTTAACTAAAAAAGAAAAATTGATGTAGATAGGAGAGATTAAAATATAAGGATTAAGAAGTGAATGTAATATACCTTTGAGGTGTTTCTTGTCATGAGACTTTTCAGGATACTCCCAGTTATAGCACTTGTAGCTGTAGACTTTACCCACTACCTTTACAATCAATGAGTGGTGATATGGATGTGGGGGATACACAACAGGTGGAGGAGGAGAGTTATAGTAGTACGGAGGTGGAGTGTACTTGGGTGGTGGTGGAGATTGATAGTAGTATGGTGTTGGTGGAGGTGGAGATTTTACCGGAGGTGGTGGCGAATTGTAGTAGTAAGTTGGAGGAGGAGGTGAATTATACTTGTACACTGGTGTTGGAGGAGGAGGTGAATTGTACTTGTACACTGGTGTTGGAGGAGGAGGTGAGTTGTAGTAGTATGGGGGTTTGTATACAGGTGATGGTGGGGGTGGTGACTTGTATACGTAAGTTGGTGACGGCGGAGGTGGTGAGTTGTACTTGTACACTGTTGTTGGAGGAGGAGGTGAGTTGTAGTAGTATGGGGGTTTGTATACAGGTGTTGGTGGGGGTGGTGACTTGTAGACGTAAACTGGTGATGGAGGAGGTGGTGAGTTATACTTGTAAACGGGTGATGGAGGAGGTGGTGAGTTATACTTGTAAACTGGTGCTGGAGGAGGAGGAGACTTGTACACGTAAGTTGGTGATGGTGGAGGTGGTGAATTGTACTTGTAAATTGGTGTTGGTGGAGGAGGTGAATTGTAGTAGTACGGGGGCTTGTATACTGGTGTTGGTGGTGGAGGAGACTTGTACACATAAGTTGGTGATGGAGGAGGTGGTGATTTGTACTTGTAAACTGGTGTTGGAGGAGGAGGTGAATTGTAGTAGTATGGAGGTTTGTATACTGGTGTTGGAGGAGGAGGAGACTTGTACACGTATGTTGGTGATGGTGGAGGTGGTGAATTATACTTGTAAACTGGTGTTGGAGGAGGAGGAGACTTGTACACATAAGTTGGTGATGGTGGAGGCGGTGAGTTGTATTTGTAAACTGGTGATGGTGGTGGGGGAGACTTGTAGACATAAGTTGGTGATGGTGGAGGTGGTGAGTTGTATTTGTAAACTGGTGATGGTGGTGGGGGAGACTTGTAATAGTAAGGTGGAGGTGGGGAAGGAGAGGGTGGTGGAGGAGATTTGTAGTAGTAAGGTGGTGGAGGTGAGGGAGAGGGTGGTGGTGGAGATTTATAGTAGTAAGGAGGTGGAGGTGATGGAGTAGGTGGTGGAGGAGACTTGTACTCATATGGGGGTGGGGGTGAGGGAGATGGTGGTGGAGGTGACTTGTACTCATATGGTGGAGCCTTATGTTCAATGGGTGGTGGAGGGGGTGACTTATACTCATAAGGAGGTGGTGGTGAAGGTGATGGTGGTGGTGGTGACTTGTACTCGTATGGTGGAGCCTTATGTTCAATGGGTGGTGGAGGGGGTGACTTATACTCATAAGGAGGTGGTGGTGAAGGTGATGGTGGTGGTGGTGACTTGTACTCGTATGGTGGAGCCTTATGTTCAATGGGTGGTGGAGGGGGTGACTTATACTCATAAGGAGGTGGTGGTGAAGGTGATGGTGGTGGTGGTGACTTGTACTCGTATGGTGGAGCCTTATGTTCAATGGGTGGTGGAGGTGGTGATTTGTACTCATATGGTGGAGCCTTATGTTCAATGGGTGGTGGAGGGGGTGACTTGTACTCATAAGGAGGTGGTGGTGAAGGAGTTGGCGGTGGAGGTGACTTATACTCATAAGTTGGTGGTGGAGGAGAACTGTATGGGTAACCATCAGCAGAAACGGAAACCACAGTAGTAGAAATCAGAACAATGGCCAATGCCATGGCCATTTCCGGCCGAAACCGACCCCTTATGGGGTCCCTGCCCCTAGCAGTCATGGGCAATAGGCAAAAGCTGGCCAATGTTTCTGAGATTATCCTCACCACTATTCTTAGAAAAGCAGGAAAGAAAGATAGATAGAGGAGAAGGTTTTGTGTTAGTGAGGACTGATAAAAGCTTACATAAAATAGCTATACTTATAGTGATAGTAATGAGTCGTTAAAGAGGAGCTGTCATAAGGGACCATTTCAAAATATTCATTTGGTTTCTTTTAGATTTTAATGTCTTAAACTAAGTTTCCCTCCAGCTGGCCTTGTGACTTTTCTAAGTACTCTTCTACACTCTCTCTCCAATTTGTTTTCCTCCAAATGGCCATACAATGGAACCAGTCACCATCAAATTCCAACAACTACTTCTAATAATTGAAGTATTAATCAACATCTCTACTTCTTACCTTAGCATAGTATCAACACAAATTAATTACCATAACTTACTATTCTTTTATTCTCTTATCATTCTCTGCTGAGTTGCCTATCTTGACAAAAAAGTAACTCCAAAATGCTTTATTTCTCTTGAGTTTTTTTCTTTTCAATTGTTTTAGCATAAAGGGAAAGTGAATAACTTATTTTGCATCATAGGTTAATTATTTTTGTTTAAGTCCTTAATGGCTGGCAGCTATTACAAACTTTAGATCAAATCATTTCTGTTTGTTTAATAATAAGGTGAAGATGATATTTGACTTTTCTTTATTTCTTTCTGTACCTTTTGAAGACAAGCATTTGGCACTTTGTGTTGCAGAATAACCCAAATATGCCTTATTTCCTACAGGTACACTTGGCCGTTAGGTATGATACAGATCGTCATCATTGTTTATTTTATTTCTCATATACCCCTAAAAAATTAGATATACATTATACCAGTACACTTTTGCACCTTAATTCTTCTAAATACGTATAATGGCCTGGGGAAGAATACAAATTCTTTTTCACTTTAGTTCAGCTGTTATATTACTTTCACTTTCACTTTTATTTTTTGAATTTTCTGAGCCATGTGATTTCTCTCAATAATAATGATTATTAACATGTGATTCTTGTCAACACATGCATGGATTCAAAGTGCACGTTGCATCATTTACATGTTACTCGAGGCGCACAAACTTTAGAGGTAGAAAAAGTTAGAAACAATAACCAGAGAAACTTTATTTCACAGATTAATTAAATCTCCAGAACAAAATATTATTTTTCTCTCCGGCCTTCAACTTTAGTACTGTCTCTCTAGCTGAGATATTTTTGCAGAAAATTTTGTTAAATGTTACTGTCTCTGGATGAGATGTCAATATGGCATAATAACTAAAACTGAGAATTCATTTGATTTGTCTGTTGTCTTGATGTATGTACTGTACATTCCATGATGAATGAATGCATTTTTTTAGTACTAATGTTTGCTCAGTGCATTGTTTTTAGCAACTGATCATTGTCGGTTCTAACATTTGAATTATGATGTCAATAAATGAATGAAACGTGCACATTATTGGTTCTGCATTTCTGTTATAGATAGTTTTATTATACAACTATGCTTTTTCAAATTAAAAAACAGCCCCCCACTGACCAAGTAGTGGAGGAAAGGAAATCATACACATTTCTCTATAATATAAAGTTTGGACAGATATTTTTCTCTGATTTATTTATTCATTAATTTTCTATTTTCTTTTTGTAAATTAATAATTAAATAAGCTATTCTGAGACAAGTGATGTAATTTTGTTGTTGTTACATTACATCAGGTCTATTTGTTTATTACTATTGTTAATACTAATAATAAGCTGGCAGTGAATGCGTCATTTTAATTATATGGACTCTAAAATGAGTGTCGTTTAAGATTTTTGTACATAGATTATGAAATGTAATAATAGTGTCATAAAATATTGCACTTTTATTAAATTAACCTTATTAATGCATTGAAAATAGTGTAAAGAGTAATAGTTAAATGATACAATTGAAAAAATAGTAATTATTTCTATATTGAGAAGTGAGAATGATATTTATTTTAAAATAAATTTTTTCCCTCTAAACTTACCGTCATTTTGAAACAGAAGTATAGAATAAAAAAAATGTAGCCCTGAGTTAGAAGTTGCATAGAATGTGTGTATGAACTGTTTTCCATGTGAGCCAATGTACACCTCTCTTATTCATAATAGTCAATGCCGTGTGATAAGAAGTCTCTAAATTTAAATTTAAATAGAGCATCAAATTATTGATGGAGTAGTTGAATTTAGGAGAAAATAATAATCACGTTCTTACGATTTGTAATTTCAAACCCGAATTTGGTTAGGTAACCTTAAAGATGAATTAGATAGATAATGGTTATATAAGGAAGCGCGGTAGGGATAGTGGGGTGAAAAAGGTAGGAAGAGACAAGGATTGGACAGTGTTTGGAATGGAATAATCTAAACGTGAGTCTCTTTCATAATGAATGATAAGTGAAATATCAAATAATGACTTTTCTTTTTAGCATGTTAAAGTCATTTGGAGGACCACTTTTGGTTCTTAAATTCTCATGTTTAGCTATATAATTACATGTCTGATTTGGATAATTTTTATTAGATCCTTTACGATTTGGATAATTTCCTCCCTTTGTGTCTGAGGTTAATTATAGACTTATTTTGTTTTAAGTTCTTCATTAGTACCAAATGATTTATACAACAAATGCTTTTATTAGCATTTGCTTTATAACTCGATTTCAAACTCTTATTGTGATTATGACTACTATTGTAAGTTAAAAGATTAATTTATAACAAATGGTTTTATTAGCATTTGCTTTATAACTCGATCTCAAACTCTTATTGTGATTATGACTACTATTGTAAGAAAAGATTAATTTATAACAAATGGTTTTATTAGCATTTGCTTTATAACTCGATTTCAAACTCTTATTGTGATTATGACTACTATTGTAAGTTAAAAGATTAATTTATAATAATACAGATGTACTATTTTAAAATTAATTGCGTGATTTGAGTAGCTTCGATGCATATTTCATTTTCTCTTAAAAACATTAGTTATTACTAAATTAAATTCTTTGATGTTTTTAAAACTTTTTTTTTTGTATATATTGACACCTTCAATAAAACTTTAATTATTTTTAAAAGTTCTTTTAATATGTACATATCATAAATAATATACTCATTTAAAATCTTACCATCAATGGTTTGATGATTTTTTAAACCAAATTTAAAATTTATTTATATGTGATTCTTCATGTTGTCTCGAATCAATTCAAATGACTAAATATTTGATAAATGTAATTGTGTTGATAAATAGGTGTCATCTTCTCTTTACTTTTTTTATGTTGGTTAAATTAAATAGATTAGATTTAAAAACCTCACTATTTATGTATTTAAATATTCTTATAACGTCTATAAGGGTGAAATGTAATAAAAATCAAATAAAAATTACTTCTTGCCAATTTTGGTTTTGTTAATAGATCTTTTCTTTTGAAAAGAAAAATTGTCAAGGAATCACATCTCTCGACTTCAACCAAAGGGGACACGTTATTTTTCTCAAATAGTAATAGTATGTGGTACAAAATCCTGCAAAAGTGACAGAATCAAACTCATTTTTACAAAGAGGTACATGAAATGGAACTCAAAGATGAAATGTAATGTTTAGATACAAACATTAAAAGTATGAAAACTCATGCAACTTGTACCCTACGTTGAAAAGTTTTATATTTAAATATTAATTGAAGAGATATATTTGTATTAATTATGTTAGTTATTTATTAATTAAGAGTTTTAATGATCAAGTTAAAAGAATAATTAGATTTTTATTTAAAAATTAATTGATTAATTAGTTGGATATGGACTGAAATATAGGTGAAGCCTAGACATTTCGAAATAATGAGACCTTTAATGAACTATTACCTTATATATGGACTCTCCTCTATCCGATTGAAGAGAGAGTTAACGACATTAGAAGTACATGTTAAAGAAGAACCACAAGTCAATTGGTGTTCGTTATTCGTCTTTTTTTTTTTTGTGTTTCACGAAAATATAAAGTTGTTGTGTCAATGATTCTTCTATCCGAATCATCCTAATATCATTTTTTTATAAATTAACACGTTGTAAATCCTAATATATATATATATATATATATATATATATATATATATATATATATATATATATATATATATATATATATATATATATATATATATATATATATATATATATATGGTTTCTTTGTTATTGAACATGTTTGTATAATAATTATTAAATTAATTCCAATAAGTAGTATCATAGTGAGTCTTCATGTTTGATTTATTATGATTGATTATTGTTTATGATTTATGTTGGTGTATGTTTAGTGTTGGAGTCTTTCGGATCTTTGTGAACTCGAATTTGTTAAAAACTTGAGATTTATGGCTATTTTCTCAAGAAAAATATTATCAATCCTAAAGTGATGAATCCAGAATTATAAAAATATTCAATTTTTGTGGTCGGTTATATTATGTACAAGTTTAATTTGATTTTGAATGATGACTTAAGTTTAATTATTTTATGCATCTAATTGTGTGTATGCCATTTTCGTGCATGAACAATCTAATATATGAAACAAATAAGAAAGATCCATAATGATGCTAGTTTTGGCAATTTCTCATTCCACCTTTGCTATATGGGGTGCATCCTTGAAAATTTTAATATGCTCATGGGTGAACTCAGAGATGCATCTCCGAACGCACTAAATACTATTTTCTTAGCAAATTTAGTTTGGAGATGCCTTTCTGAATCACCTCTAAGGTGAATTCGGAGATGCATGTCTGAAGTCACCTTTTGTTACAATTAATTTTTTTTATCCTCACCTTAGTGATATTTTCAGAGATATGTTTTCGAAAATATCCAACGAAAATTTGAGTATATGACCACCTTGCATGATTATGTTTCTCACCTTCAAACACTACCAAACACCTCCATAACCAAAAAAACTCTTGAAAAAAATATCTTTAACAATTAACTTTTCAATTCAAAATCAGATTTTATGAATTTTAACACATCAAAGG